TCCTGTAGACAGAATGGCTCATTGAGTCATCTGGTCTCTTTTTGATTAAGACATCCATGAAAGGTAGCATGCCATCCTTTTCTACCTCCATGGTGAATTTTATGGCTGGGTGTATGGAATTGATGTGGTTGAGGAATTGGTTCAGAGCCGGTCGACCATGTGGCCAGATGACATGTTGGCTCCAACCAGAGATAAGGGAGAACCCATTGGAGTGCCTTCAGTTTATTTTCAGAATGTTTCATTCCAGGTGAAGTATGCATTGATGAGGCAGTGTTTCACCAGGGCCGGTATATCAGCATTCAATCCTTGTTGGACCAAATCTTCAATGATTACAATGGTATCGGGCACAGGAACTTTGGTGAACAAAGAAACTACATCTAAACTAACGAGCAAACCACCTGGGGACAGTGTCCAAAATGTCCATTAATTGGACATTCACAACTGTTCAATATTTGAATTAGCACGAGGTTTGGGCGGTCCAGGAAGAAGTGCAGCAGTACAAGGGGAACGTAGCAGCATCGTGCCAACTATATATTGTTTACCTCACAAGTTTCCTACTTAGTCAATGCGTCTTTGGATTTCAATTGTAGTCCCTCTTACGACAGCTACTGTGTTGGAAACTCTTCATTTCCATGACAGGAGCCAGTCTTATTGCAGACTGCTGTTGACTTAGTTCCACAAAGCATTGTTCGTTTTCAGCGACTCCAGGAGGGTAATGGATTCAGTTCATCCACGATTGGGAATAGCACTCATGTCCCTCTGACTGCGAATGAGTCAAATGCTCTGTGCTGGTGCCATTTGATCAGATGAACATCAATGACAGGAAGGGTGGCCAATAACAAATGGCACGGTTGGTTACATTATGGTGCGAAATAATTTCACCATACATATCATTATATTATTCATTAATCGTATTTGTTGTATAGCAAACATGTCAGCTTACACTTCCCACATAATTTCATCTCTACACACAATGACATTTAATAAAGCACACCTACATAATGGAATCTCGGCCTTTTGACATTCTCTGGTCTAACACTGATAAGACTAGCTAAAGACGGCTGTCTCTATTGTCGACCAATCAGTTTCAAAGACAAAGCGTTAAACCAATTCTTTTTATTTTTTCCTATGATCTGCTTTGTCCTTTGTAAGATGTCAAACTTAAAGATCTGCTATTGGACTGGGGTGGGGGAGGGGGACTGAAGAAGATTGCATCAGTTTTCCCATTATCACCGTCCCTTGCCCTTGCGTGCCACCGACAGCTCAACCATTAACCAGCTATTGGTGATGTGAAATTGGATGGAATTTTACAACCAAAGACTTATATTCTTTGGTTCTTTCAGTAAAGTCACGTAGGTGAAAAAAATAAAATAAATTAACAAATTAAAATAAATGTTCACCTACGTGACTTTACCGAAAGAACCGAAGAATATGGATCCTTGCAGTCACGAAAACTTCAAATGTAGAATGAACCAAAGACTTGTCCAATCACAAGGCTTGGATCAACGCCAAGTGTACACTTGGCAATGCACCTTTACTTGGGTACGTCACATTGGCACAGCTCTCTGATATCACCCCGGAGTCTTAACTTCCAATTGTAGTTTAACACGTAGGCTTTCGCGACCAATATTATTCATAATAAAGGTTTTTGGGTTAGATCGCGTTATTTATATATTATTATGAGTATTATGATTTATTATGAATTCTAATTTTAACTTGAAACCAGTGAACATGCGCTCCAAGGATCGAATGGCCTTTTGCTTAGCTAATGGTCCCACAGCCAATTGTGCATTCTTGTTTCAATGCACACCATTCTTTGCATTATTTATAATCAGACAACAATCATGACCTTTCAGAGACCAATTTTCCAGGTGCCTAGAAACACACGTATACATGGCAATACCCTGCTCGCTTGGGGTAGAGTGGTGACACGGTCGTTATTGCACTGTACTCATAACCCAACAGTTTGAGTTCGATTAGTAGCACTGGCTAACATTACTGGTGAATTGTACCTGAACCTTCACCAACACATACTGACCAATGTCGGGAAGTATGGTCAGAGAGCCCCCCACAGACAACATGCCTTAGGGAGCCCTTCATCCAAAAGTGGATTGAACAAGGGCTGCACATTTTTTTTCACCTTGGCTGTTGCAATGGATGTGTTTAAAGTAGTTAATGCTCAAGGACTTTATCCAAATTACAATCCCTATATTTTGCAGAGACCTGGCTATTCACAGTTATGTCAGTGTCAAGGTGTATCAATGCTTAAGTGAGCACTGGAGCTGTGCTTATCTCCACTGGGAGCGGATCTTCTACATTTACATAATTAACCCTTTCCCATTCTGAGATGTTTGCAAGTTGCAGAGTGGGCGTTCAGTTCACCGCTGAATCTCGGAATGTGCGAGCGCTTAGCGTAAATTTGATTAAGAAGAGGCATTGCACCGTTGTTTTTAAAGACATTGTACTCACCGCTGAGAACCGTGGTGATAGCTGGCGCCAAAATGTGCCACACGCCTCCCCACATGGCTTCGTGGGAGTCTCGGTACCGGAATCGTATGAAAAACTGATGACGTACAAGTACGTAATAATTTACATTTACCTCTTACCACGTATGTCAATGGAATGGGAAAGAGTTAAGGTGTAACCATATTCTTTGGGTCTTTCGGTAAAGTGACTTCATCACCTGATGACAATCGCTTGTGTTGCGATCGAAACGTCGTGAGGTTTTTTTAAATTTTCTTTGAACCTATCTACGTCACTTTACCGAAAGACCCAAAGGATATGAATTTCTGCAGTCACGAAAGTTTCAAGTCAAGATTTAAGGTGTAAACAGTTTATCTCTACCACAACCAGTCTTACCTCCCAAAGAGTGGTAACAATTGATCAATCCCCAAGATGTTATGGACTGAGTTGCCTTTTCATAAATATTTGACTCCGTTGATTGAACTACAATGTCTAGTTGATGCCTGTGCATCCATCCACGGTGACAATTGGATGAATGTTAACAGAGCAAAGTATCGTTTTTGTAGTATATTTGTGAAATTGGCACATGATCATTTATCCTCATGGGCAAATGTCGTCTGTGATACAGTATCGCTTGGCAGTGGTGCACAAGCACAACAAATAATTTAGCACATTCGTTCATCATGCTGCCCTTATAGGAATGACGCATACATAACAGGCGCCATTTCGGTCAATCGCCCTTCTTCATAGCACAAAAAACAACTTGTATGCATTGACTTTTCCTGTTATCTGATTGGATTACTCTGTAATTATTATTCAAGTTTATCGGTTTCTTCTGAATTGTATTGGCATTTCGAGTGTCGTTGACATTTATGTTATTATTATCAGCTTTTCATTTCACTTATATTTTATCTATACTTGTAGTTTTTTTACGTACATCGCTTTGAGATATTTAAATATGAAATGTGATTAATAAAATACAGATGATTATACTTGAGGCGATTTTATTATAATTATGTACGTGCTATGAAGAGGCGCTTTTACCAAAAATGTCACCGACTTTATATATATATTATATGACAGTGTTATTGAGAAATGTGTTACTGTATTGAATGCTGTTTGGGGTCATTAATGTTCATTTTGCAGCAGTTGGTACAATTTGGTAGGCATGCATAAATTAATGGATGGCCACAGTTAATAGTTGAGGCATTGTAGTTAGCACTGAGCACAAAGATAATGGCTATCTCTGCTTAACCTCAAGCTCATCTATTCAAGAGGTGTCACCTGATTGAACCAGGCGAAAAGCCACTCATAATCGTCAGCGACCTTGCAAAAGAGAACTGTGCAATAAATGTTGACACAAATATTTAATTCGTGAGTGCATATATACTTTTTAAAATATAGTTCATGTGAATGTAAAAATTCTGCACAGGATTTAGTCTGATACATAATTTATATGATGCTTAGTCATATCTGTCATTGTAATATTACTCAATATATTAATGTTAGTATCACCAGCACTTGTGCAAATGAGTAGATAAAATGTATTCAGTTTAAAAGCTTAAAAGATTCTAAAAATTGTTGATATATTTAGATTGACACTGCAAGAGAAGTCCTTTACAGGGACATGGCACAAGCTGTGTGCACCGATCATCTTGTGGACCAACCATTTCCCTTTAAAAGGCGAAACAAAACAAAAACCCATAATCTTTTATTGAAAATAAAAAATAGAGCTGTTTATCTATAGCTATTTCTAATAATTATATCACAACTGACAAAAACTGCACTGCAATGGTTCTGGAGTTTATGGCAACCCAACAGTGTAATCTCTCAGATGGGGCCACGCTGTGGGCAATTCTTCCCTCGAGCTCCTGCCTTTGCACAACTGTGGGCAACTTCAGGAGTTGAGGTCAACTTTCAGATGCAAAGTTCAACGGCAGGCGACTGCAGTGGTTGGCAGGTGCGGAAGCTGCCCACGGTCGGGCACAGTGAACGCTCGAGGAAAGAAAAAGTTGGCATGCACCCGAACCCGGAACACCGTACTCAGAGCTCGAAAGCTCTTTGCGTTATGCGCCCGCATACTTGCGTGCACCCTGTCCATATCTTCATCCCCTTGTACATCTGAGATAAAGTGGCATGTATAGTGACAATTATAAATGGTCTTTTGGTATGTAAAAGATGCATTGTGTTGAAAGTTTCAGCATGACATCCCAACATACTTGATTTTTAGTCGTATCGTGGAAGAGTTGCTAGACAACAGACTACTTTAAATGCAATGGCAAAGCAATTTATTTTATATGTTCATATATTATTTAAAATAGCTTCTGGTATTCATATTCTTTAGGGAGGGATCTGGATTGGCATGTTTCGTCATTTTCTTTTCAAACAGTGTTTTGAATGTGGGAGAGAATTAGAAATCCTGGAGAAAAACTACACATTGAAAAACTGGAAATGTTGCGTCAAACAAAGTGATGGAGTCCGTGGTGGTTTTAACACTGATGTGTGTCTTTTTGCCCCCTCTGGTTTCTCTGCATCAGTCCCGTGGACTTGGACGATGGTTTGGAGAATGATGCTGCTCAAGAGGGGATTAACAAAGCTGCCTTAGGGGGTCTTGTGTACGGAGACTACCTCCAGGTAAGGATATATCCATTACAAAGGTTGTAGAAGGCCTGGATAAGAAGCCTACTATAAATAATTAACAAAAAAACCTCTCCCAATGCCTCAAATATACATTGGTATTTTTTATATTGGGGAATGACACGTCTTTTGCATATTTATCACGGTTGGCTACGTAGGGTGCAAAGGAAGTTCAACACACATACATTTAGATTTTTAAGTTAAATCGCGACATTGGGTATACATCTACTGAATCAGTTACTTGATTTATGTTCCACGATTGCAAATGTGCTCAGTTTTACATAAGCAAAATATGAGTGAGTAAAAATATATTAGTGGAAAAGTCAGACACGATTGCTCTACATGAAAATCAGTTCAAGTTTCAGTACAAATATGAGAAGTTTTTATAGTTTCAATTTAAAGCTTTCCTGACTGCAAGGATTCATCTTCTTTGGTTCTTTCGGTAAAGTCACGTAGAATGAGAATAAAATAATAAATTGATAAAATAAAATAACACAATAATATTCTCACGACGTTTCAGCCACAACACAAGCGGCCTTCATCATGATGATGAAGGCCGCTTGTGTTGTGGCCGAAACTGTCCGGAGGACAGCGCTGTCCTCCACACAGTCTCGTCCCTTCACCTGATGAAGGCCGCTTGTGTTGTGGCCGAAACGTCGTGAGAATATTATTGTGTTATTTTATCAATTTATTATTTTATTCTCATTCTACGTGACTTTACCGAAATAACCAAAGAAGAAGTTTTTTATAGTGTTCATATAGAGCTACCGATTGGCAGCTTATGCAATAAATTCCTGTTGCACAACCCGCATTGAACTTTCAGTCAAATTATACTCAAAGCTAGCATTCTACATGAAGAAATGTGACGCTAAACTACCCATGCACAGCAAAAGATGTACAGTCGGTTTGATGTTGCATAATTCATAATTGTAAAATCGTGCATGTAATCGAGCATTTCCCATCAGATACTTTTCTATTGTTCGATATTTATTGTGAATTGGGAGCCAGCTCGGCCTGTGCCGGAGCCTTTTCCCTTGCAGATAGAAGTTCGCGCGTTTAAATCCTAGGGAGAGGATTCACAATTCTGGGGTTGATAAATGAGTGGCACTCTTGAAAAGTCAGCATTGGTTTGGTATTATGGAGAGACAATAACCCCCCCTCCTCCTCCCTCAAATATCAAATAAACTACCATTTTAATTACTAATCTAATTAGCATTTTGCTTGAAATGTGGGTGTGTCTGTTGAGTGACAATCTCATAGGAGAGCGTGTGGGAAAGTTTGTTCTGTACTGCGCAGAATTTTTTTTACATACAGATGTTAACCAACTCGTCTGGTATATGGGAGGTTGTGGATTCGATCCCGACCGTGACACCTGTATATTTGCAGTTTGCATGTTTTCTCCCCGTGGTCGCGTGGATTTTTGTCTGGGTCTTCCACATTTAGAAACATGCGTTTGGAGTCTATGGTTGCTGTAAATTTCCACATGATAAGCCACTTCGTTGAGCTATCATTTGTAGCCAGGTCGCTTCTTAAAAAATAGCTCTTTAGCTCAGTTGGTAAAATAATTTGTCATAATTTAAGTTTTAGATGAAACAGCGATGGGCAACCCAGGCGAGTTAGTGGGCCAAATGAGCAGCCCTCTTTCACCTCAGTGGGCCACAAGTTTTAGATCGTGCTTGTGCAATCATCATGACCCCACACATTACCCTAGACAAACTGGGATCAGGCCACCACGAGGAGCTCCATGGGATGCATGCGGCCCGCGGGCCACAAGTTGCCCACTACCGGCATAGACGATAAACAGCCTACTTGTAAGATGTTTTGATGGAAGTCCTGTGAATCAGCTCTTCCGTGGGCCACTGTCGAACACAGGGGGCATTCCGCTGTGTAGTTTTTCCTGAACGGATTCCTCTTCTCGTGACATAAAGGCCAACAACACAATTGTAATCAATTTGAAAAATTAACAAAAAATGTGGGTGCAAAAAACTGCTTTAACAATCTGGCTATTTTTTTACGTATGTGCTGGGTTTACAAGTTGGCCAGGGGATTGTCATACAAAAAGTAGATTTGTGCAACAGCTTACGTGGACCTCGGAGTGTTATCCCCTCATATACAGCAGTTTTTTTTGGGTACCCTGATTTCCTCTGAAATGCAAAACATTCACTTTAATTTCAAAATCACAATATGTATTTATACTGGATGAATCCGATGAGTAGTCACAGATGTCCAATTTAATTGGCCAAGAATGCCAATGCAGACTTATAATGAAAAGTGACTTGCTCGAAATGTAAATAGCATTATTATCACTTCCATTGAATAAATTATCAAGTGTAGGGTCCACACATTTGATTTTGCTTCCTTAGGGCATGTCGAGGCATAGTTGTTTACCGTAGACTATTAGTAATAATAATATCGTGGTACGATATGGGAAAACACAAAGTAAATGTGCAGCCAGGCAATGACACTGCTGCTGGTGGAAAAGCCCTCCGCTAGAGGGAGGGAGCTCTAGAGAGCCCGTCCAGAGAGTGTGGTGGCCTCCTCTTCCACGATGGCCAGACATGTTGGAAGAGGTGGGATTACCCGCAATTGAACACACCGACAATTTACTTTCTAAGTGAGATGCTTTGTCCCGAGCAGCTCCAGTGATAACAGCTGGACCGCATCATAGCAGATAATTTCAAAATACCAGCTGGCATACCTTTAACATTGCTCCCTCTAAATGACCAATGCATTATTAAATGCAGCATATGGAATTTCTGTATTCAAGAACAGAAGAAAGGTATTTTTACTTTACCAGGTAAGGCCCACTGAGCTATATTGCTATTTTTCAGAAGCCACCTGGACAATAATGATAGCTCATCAAAGTGGCTTATCATGCGAAAATTTATAGCAGGAAAATACTCTAAACATATGTTTCTAAACGTGGAGGGAAAACCTGGAGGACCTGGAGAAAAATCCACACGACCAGGGGGAAAACATGCAAACTCCAAATATAGAGGAGTTAAGATCGGGATCGAACCCACGACCTCCTCCATACCAGACAAGGACGATGACATCTTGCCACCGTGGTGCCAAAGTGTAAACTCACCCCGTTTACAATTGCTTTTATGCATGAGCCTTTAATTCAGGAGACATCATTTATGAATAAAAGTTCCTACTTTTTGAACAAAATACTGTATTTTATTTTTTAATTTCAGATAGCTTTTGACACGTGGACCTGAAGATGTAGAAATAAAATCACGTACTAATTACATGGCCAACAGACAGAGCAGGATGAACATTTTCTGTAGACAAAACAACGACAACGTTTGGGCCTCATTATCAACATTCTATATGCACTGTTAGTTTTCCCAGAACCAACAAATAATATAATCTACAGGCAAATAATGAAAAAAATATATATAATGTTGTCATGCGTCAGTAGGGAAGTCTAATATGAAGTTCGAGAATTCATATGTTTTCTGTATGCCCTTAATCAAGTAGTCTAGTTTGCAGACCCACCCCCGTTCCTTATGAGATGTCGCGTTGGTATGCAGCCCCTGTAGCATTGAGAAGGGAAGGGATGGATGAGCCTGAACACTCCCAGCTGACGGCTCAGGCCAAACACCTTCAATTGTAACCATTAACCATGGGCATTCACGTTTATCATCCTGAGTGATGATCATGGTGACCCAACCCAACATATCCTTGGTTTTGATGTTTCTACAAACCTCATGGTCGACTCTAAACCGCATCCACACAAATAAAAAATTGTGGTTCTCTAGAACAGACCATACAATGTATAACAACGCAATACCGGATCCACAAATACAACGAAGACATTTCAGAAATAGACTCCGCTGCTCCTGACGCAGTTATCTGGCTTGACCACCTGAATGTGAAAGAAGGGTCACAACTAAATGTTTACAGCTGCTGTGGCCATTATTAAGCAGTCTGAGGATGCTATCCCATACGTTAGCGGCCCTGGCTGCACACAGTGCTGCTTAACATTGATTGAGTGTAATATGTAGTATAGTGACACATTAAGCCTACGGTAGGGTACTGATATTTTTTTGCAACTTCTCCTGCATGATATCCATTCCGCAGCCTGCGCAAATTCCCGATGCATTGTGTGAGCACAGTCATAACCTTTAACAATGGGCGAGCTGGTTTTAATGTGTAATTTGGGGCGCTATGGCTTTGTTCCCACAGCTTCACAAGATCCTGGACGCTCAAGTCCTGGAGAGCACGAAGCATCACAACACCATCCATGATGAGCACCTGTTCATCACCACCCATCAGGGTGAACCACCAGCATCACAACATCATCCATGACGAGCACCTGTTCATCACCACCCATCAGGGTGAACCACCAGCATCACAACACCATCTATGACCAGCACCAGTTCATCAGCACCCATCAGGGTGAACAACCAGCATCACAACACCATCTGTGACAAGCACCTGTTCATCACTACACACAAGGGTGAACCACCAGTATCACAATACCATCCATGACGAGCACCTGTCATGTGGAGAACTACCATTAACGTTACTGTGTATATGATATGACTGTATTTGCCTAGCTGAAGTTTGAATATGATTAAACTCACTTTATTCAGTATTAACCTCAATTGCTGTTTATTTTTTTTTCACGTAATCACACTTATTGACAAACCGTTTATTTGAGTTGACATGCATTACTTGTAACCAGAATGCATCAGTTTTCTCTGCTCAAAGGAAACAACAATTTATTGTGGCAATTGTTGTGTTTATTTATTATTGTGTTTACTTAATAATTTCGACCAGTAGGTGTTCTGTATTCAAAAACATCATTTTAGAAAAGATCATGAGAACATTACACATATTGCTGTAATAATCTATACAATTCCATGCATGGTACTTTTGTGATAAATGAGAACAAAGATAACGTATTGTTTGCGCTTCATGTGTTGCAGCCTATGAACTGTGGTTCAAGCAAATCCTCTGGGAGCTGGATTCTATTCGACAGATATTTTATCACAGACAAGTAAGCTCTAAAACTTTACACCATGTCACACGTTCCCTGAACCAACACAATTTAAATCCCATGGTGAGTGAAGCTCTCGTTAACACCTGATGACGCTGGATGTAATCTCCAGCAATGTTGCATAAAAAAAAAATTGTCAAAACATTTCCTTTCTTTTCCAGCACTCCTCCAGTTCTGCTGGCGAACTGACAGCCTGATTTTATTTGGCTTTGTTGGGTGGTGGAGGGCTATAGTTAAACAGTTGGCATTATAGCTACACGAATATGACTCACAAAACACTCACAATGAATCATTTATATCCTAATTCATGCTTCATTGGATTTTCCGCTTTGTATGTTTTTTTGGTAAACAACATCTACAATACCAACAAAAGAAGGTGATCACCTGGGTGGGATGTGTTTCATTTCATTTTTGTGAAGATGTGACTGTAACCCTTAGCCTTGTAGCTGCAGGAAAATTATCAGCCTGCTGATGCTCGGCACATCTCTGTAATCCTCAATAATAAGAGCTAAGATTATGTTGATGTTCTTACTGCTAGGGCTATTAATATAAAACTCAGCCTAGCTTCATTGATACCTCTGTAATGGGATTTACATCATGCTAGAAATTACAAGAATGGAGGCATTTATTCGTAACCACATTTACATGCATGGGTTTCTCCCCGGGTTTTCTCGTTTCCTCCCATAGCTAATAAAACACACACACATAATGTCACCGATATTGGCCAATTATATGTGAATGCTGACAAATTACTCGCAAATTATTTAATTTAGATTTCTCATAGCAACGTGTGATACACTTGGCAGAATCATCCTGAAGAAGAATATTGAGACTCAGTGAAGCTTCCATGGACAATTAAGCATAATAACAGTAATAGTGCAGAATATGTATCTTATCACCCGTTGCTATTTTATTATAATTGTGTTTTCAACATCCAAGGCACTAGGCACTTACACCCCATCTCAGAACTCTGTATAGACAGGAAGGTTCCATCATGAGGAACATTGCCACATGATGACATCCTACAGCTGTTTCCGATATCTCTGTAGAAGCTTTGATACTAATTTCACAGGGGGAGATGAGTCATTCACTTTGTACCTGACGAGCAACATGCTGAGTGAGTACAGACATATGGGCATTCGTTTGTCATGTATGTATGTTGAACTTTTTTCACACCGTACGTAGCCAACCTGTACCACCTAGCCAACTGCAATGATAGTACAATAAAAACAATCCCAACATTGGCCTTTCGGCGAAGATCCACTTAAAGACCCCTTTCTTTTATAAGGAAACAACAAGAAACGTAGGTATAGAGAATATCCGAGACATAGCATTGTAGTTGCTTATGTAAACCCACTGTTCATGTTGAAAGTGGGCCGTTCTCAGCCCGACACAGGATGTGTAAACCGCTACTGAGGGAAAACGATGACACTTCTCGTTGTTTTTACAAGCAGTTGTGGGACACAGTGCACTGGCAGTGACTTCGAGCCAAACTAAGCCCTCATTCTCACTGGAAAGGAAGCACTAATTGGTAGGCAGACTGACCATAGACTTAAGTACACACCTAGCACTATGAAGCAAGTGACCCACCTCTGACAGCAGGGCCTTTTGTTTTCTAAACAATAAAACTATAATTGGCATCCACTGGGAATGCTGGCTCTTACTTGTAGGGCCACTGTGTATTGCTGTTGAAGCCCAATGCATAACGTTGTGCTTGAGTGAAGCTGCAAGCCAATTACTGATGCAGGATAACTTACATACCACACATTCTTGCCAACGCTGCTTTCATCAGTGGAGTACTTTGTGTTTCAGTCACCACTTCTTCGGTGCTTATCTGGCATTTGCTGCAATGCTCGATGGATGACTGGCATCTTACTGCAGCTCTAGACGAATGGCTGGCATTTCACGGCAGTTTTAGATGCATGGCAGGTATCTGACTGCAGTGCTAGATGGATGGCTGGCATCTTTCTGCTGTGCTAGATGGATGGCCAGCATCTGACTGCAGTGCTAGACGGATGGATGGAATTTGACTGTAGTGCTAGATGGATGATTGGTATCTGACTGCATTGCTATTCGGATGGCTGGCATTCACTGCAGCGCTAGAGGGATCGCGACCACAACGTCTGGATTCCTTTCTGAGTAATGGTTATTTATTAAATACGGTCTATGAGTAGATTACTTGTCAGTTGTTTAACTATTAGCGAATCTGCTAAATATAGCTCTCGAAATGTACCCAACCCAACACATCCTTTAAATAATAATAGTAATAATAATTTAGATTAAGAATGTGTTTGTTTCAGCTCACAGGGCATATTCCTGTAATTATAACATCTTAGTCATAATTGATATCTAGAGTCACTGACGTGTAGGGCTTTAACTACGAACGTATTCTTAATTGAGAGGGAAATGATTGTGTTCACCAAACCCTTGTTTATTAACCTTGTGGGCTTGCATATTTTTTGAAGCATGTCATTGGTGTGATCCATATTTTCTTTCGGGAATTGCATACACGTGCCTGTATATTTAATTAAACAAGGCTTTCTCCACCTCTGCACATTTAACAAAATGTCTAAACGTGTATAAACACTCGCTAATCGGCTGAAAACATATTAAAATACAGAGGACTCTACAGCTTGGGAAATCATTGGTAGCGCCGGCTCACCGGCTGGCTGCTCGCCTTCGAGCTCGTCTGTCGTTGCTCACCGATTGTGAGAGGTCCGATTTACATGAATGGTGACGACACTCCTATTTAACACTAAACAATAATGCAGCAGGAGAATATCAGAAGTGGGGAGTCAAAGGCATAAACCATCATCACACGAACTCATCCTGGCAACGGCTTTTGGCTGGCCATCGAACAAAGACAGTTTCAGTATTTCAGTTTCAGTTTATTTATTTTGGTATAGCCCTGTGAGCCATTCGGCTCTTGAATCGGGTGCAACCACGACAAACAAAAAAACAAAAAACACGAACAAGAAAACATCTTAAAGTGACTTTGTGACTGTGCAAACAGAAAATCCATGGAAAAAAACCAGCAAAAATATTCCTGAAAAAAGCACTGTACACCAACGCTGTGTGCAAAAAATCCCAGTGGGTTGCAAGTCAAACAACAACAACCACAAGAAAACTTAGATTAAGGCCATCAGTCTAACTCCGTACTACAACAAAACAAACATGTCCAAACTAAAAAACTTTTCAAAATCACCAAAAAATAAAGCCATATTTACAACGTAACAGTGATCATTGGGACTGTGACCGAATCAGAATCAGAAAGGGTTTTATTCGCCATGAAAGTTCACACAGACAAGGAATTTACTTTGGCAGGAAGGTGCATGCATTCAACATAATCTTATATCTTAAATAAGTGGTATACAAGTCTAACTATACTAAAGGTACAAAGTCTAACTAACACTAAGGGGCTCAAGTATGTAAAATTTTCAATAAATATTGAATATAAAGTATCTATAAGATACAATCTAAAAATAAAAAAAATACAAATAGGGTAACATAGTGTAAATATGGCAAGGTGTCATTTCGTAGATAAAATGTTAAAGTCAGTGTAAGCCCTTGGCCTTGTTGAAGAGGCCAGCAGTGGCTGGGAAGAAACTGTTTTTGTGGCGTGAGGTTTTGTTCCTGATGGACCGCAGCCTTCTGCCGGAGGGGAGTAGCTGGAACAGAGAGTGTCCAGGGTGGGAGGAATCGGCCATAATCTTCCTCGCTCGCCTCATGGTCCTCGAGGTGTGCAGGTCCTCGAGGGTTGGTAGATTGCAAGAAATCACCTTCTCAGCAGTGTGGATGATATGCTGCAGTCTGCTCTTGTCCTTGGCAGTGGCAGCAGCGTACCAGATGGTTATGAAGGAGGTGAGGATGGATTCAATGATTGCTGTATAGAAGTGCACCATCATTGTCTTTGGCAGGTTGAATTTCTTCAGCTGCCGTAGGAAGTACATCCTCTGTTGAGCTCTCTTGGTTAGGGAGCTGATGTTCAGTTCCCACTTGAGGTCCCGGGAGAGAATAGTGCCCAGGAAGCGGAAGGACTCTACAGTTTTGACTGGGGAGTTGCACAGGGTGATGGGGGTGAGTGGGGCTGTATTCTTCCTGAAGTCCACAACCATCTCAACTGTCTTTGGAGCATTAGCTCTAAGTTGTTCTGGCTACACCAGGTCACCAGGTTGTCAGCTTCCCACCTATAGTCAGACTCATCCCCACCAGAGATCAGCCCAATGAGGGTGGCGTCGTCCGCAAATTTCAAGAGTATGACGGACAGAAAATTGGATGTGCAGCTGTTGGTGTACAGGGAGAAAAGCAGTGGGGAAAGGACGCAGTCACTGCATCACGCGCGCTTTCAGATGCGCTTTCGTGGCTGTCTGGAAAGCGCTTCCTTCTGATATCATGAAGCCACTGGAGCTATGAACTTTTAAATCATCTAGGTTGAAAACTAATTTCTTCAGAACTGTTTTTTGTGTGTTAGTTCGTTGTCCTTCCTCCGCACATCCGATAAGCACTGTTGGCTACGTACGGTGCGAAAGAAGTTCAACATACATACGTGCAGGCTACAACACCCATTGTATACCTTGTTGGTATTATACTCGCTCACAGCACCTTCCTCAGCAGCTTATGAGGGAAAATAGGAGACATTTATTTGTCTTTGCATGCACATTATTTTCTGGCGCATGAAAGAAAATAATATTTGTTAAAATAATGTTAAGGCAAAACCGCAGCCCTGCAATTGCTTGCTCATGCCACTACTGATGGAAGGGTCTCAACGATAGGGAGCTCATGAGGGCCTATCTAGAGGGGAGTTGGCCTACTCTTCCACACTAGGCACGTTTCATAATATAGAAGTTTGTTTCAAAATGTAATAGATCAGAAGCATCACAACATGTTGAATGTAATCGACCCTTGAGCTAACAATTATATTGAGAAAATCTGTATCTGTAGATAAGACATACTGCATTATACCCTTGCACATTCAGAGGTACAAGCAGTTATTCATCAGA